CTGCGCCTGAGACCCTGGTGCGGCCTTCGATTCTCCGGGCGCCGCCATCGAAGGTGACTTCGCATGGCCATTGGGTGCTGTCTGTGTCTGGGAAGGGGGAGCTTCGGACGGTTACTTCGTCCCCCGGTTCAAGGTCGGTGTTCGCCGTCAGCGTTGTGGTGTGTGCGCGACAGTCTCGGCAGTATGCTGACGTCCAGGAAGCCGTGGGGTCGTTGTCAGTTCTGGGGCAGGGGAACCAGCCTCGGCTGGGCAGCATCCACCCCGCGCGCATCTGGGTGGCCAGGATAACAGCAAGCTTGTCTCCTGCGCGGCAGTGGCTGGTGACGACCGGGAGCCTGCGCACCTCTCCTCCAGCGCGTCGCGCGTGGCGGGTCATGTGGGGCCTGGCCGCTCCGCATATGGCCCTGCCGGGGGTGGCGTGCGGGTGGCACGTGGGGCAGGTATTGCATTGCTGCCCGCGCGGCGGTCTCGTCTGGGTTGTCGTGCCTCGGGGGCTCGTCGCCCTCGTGGTCGTCCTCGTCGCTGTCGCCTAGCTGGTCGGAATCCGCGGCTGCGATGCCCTGGAGAATGAGTCTGGCCGCGTCACTGGCCTCGAGGGGGGTGGCGGTGAGGTTGACGCAGTATCTGAAGGAGATCTGGTGAAACACCTTTACGAGGAGGGGCTGGTGGTCACCGCTGCAGGTGATAGCCCGAGCGAGGGGCTCGGGATCGTCCGGGCTTTGCGCGGCGTGCCAGGCCAGGGCGGCAGCAGGGCGCCAGTGCGACGCGTGCCCTGGCGATGCCTCCCCGAGCCCGCAGAGCGGACGCTGCCCATGTGGGCCCGCTCTGGTGGGGGCCCGTAGGCTGCCCTGACTGTGGGCGTAGGCTTCGGCCAGGCCCCGCAGGGTGAGGGGCAAGGGGTTAGGGTCAAGTAGCTGCCAAAGCGCAGGGGAGTGAGGACCGTGACCTATGCGTCTAGCGCACCAGGCGGCGCCTTCGTCTTAAATCTTCTCGTCCGCCGCCAGGGTCGATGCTGGTGGGGATGCATGGGCCTCGGCCCTGGAACTGCCTGCGATCTGACCCGTCGTATTCAGCTCGCGCTGGCGTGGAATTCTCCGATCGCATTCCTCGCCGGCCTCAACAGGATCTTCCTCCTGCCGCCGGAAATGCCAGTCCTCGTGATATACCTTGAAGATGTGATTATCTTCCAGATCTTCCCAAACATCTTCCGTTTCTTGGGCTTCAGTCTCGGTCAATGGAATGTAGTCCTCAATGGATATGACCTTCCTTCCGCCTATGCCGTCGCCGTTGTCGGGAATCCCAGGCCTCTCGCCATGATTTGGACTGCGAGATAGACGGTCCACTTAGTTGTGGCGGCGATGCTGGCTGTGGGCTGGGCGCGGGCGTACACTGTAGCCCTGCGCGCATCTATGAGATCTCGCTTGTGCGCCCGCCATTCATCGCCTGCCCTGTCGCGGCGTTCCGATACCTTGACGATGCGACCACTGTCATCACTTCTAGCATGATGTTTCGAAGGCCACCACTGACGAACCTGATTCTGTGTAGCCCTGGTCGAAGAAATAATTCACGTCGGCTTCGTCGATCACCGCGCGCGGGCCTTGTTTGTCATGAGAGCAGGAGGTGTATCCCTTGCCAGAGGAGGAATGCCCCTTCCCCAGCCCGTATCGCTGGAGCTCGCACCGTACGTGGGCTCGGCAGACCGAGCATCGCCTTTGCCCTTGGAGGGGCCAGCCCCCTGAGAGCGGCTGCGACCTCGATCAGGACCGGCCGCGCCCAGTCTATCTTTTCCAGATTTCCGTGGTGCGGCTGCTGTGGCGCGGGCCGCTGAGCTGCGGCCGCGGCGACCGCTTCGTTTGTCGGCCTTACGGGGGCCATCCGAGCCAATTGGGGCCTCTCCAGACCTGCCCCGCATCATCGACGTGTTGGCGCGGGTCTGTCCCCGCCCCGCAACAGCCGGCTCCTCCTCCGTGAGTCCTAGCGCCGTTGGAGCTGGGGCCGGTGGGGCCTCGTCTGCTCGTGTCCAAGCTGTTCCAGTATCTTAGCGTCTGTGGCAGGTGCAGTCTCCGCGTCAGATCGTCGTCGTCGTTTTGTCGTCGTCTGAGTCATGCTGCGCGTGTCCGTGCCGACGCGCGCCGACCCAGTCCTCGATGGGTGTGTCGCGCAGCTCCTCGATCCCATCATGCAGGTACTCGGTGTAGCGCTCCACCGACACAGCAGCGTTGGCGAAGTGGGCCATCAGAAACTAAGCAGAACTGGACTGGGAGTAAACAGGGGGTGGTCGATTTCGGGGAAATCAATGATGTCTGCTTCGGATTGCTCTGAGCCGAGAAGTGCGGATCCGTCCTCTTTCCCACCGACATTTGAGCATTTTGCTTAGGGATGTGTACCGCTACCGCAGGTATTGCATGTCATCCTTTTACCATCTTTACCCAACGGATTGAGCCTGCGTCCCTTGCCCTTGCCTGTTGTGTGCCTGCGACCTTTGCATCTACCTCTACCTCCTAGGAATAGGTCTTCAAAGTCGTAGTCGGTTAATCGAGCCAGAAACGTGGCTATGTCTTTGCTATGCAATCTGCGGGTGCGTCTACCACATGTGCCGCGGCCCTTTCATTTGCGGAACAGCAAAAAAACACGACGTACAGCTCGCCTGAGCCTCCTGACTTTGTTGTTTTCTTCACATGTCGCCTCAACCGTCTTTCGGCGTGATGATAGCCTACTTATTCGTATTGTGTAGCTGCATCATCACCGGCGGGTAGGTCTGACCAGTCGAGGTTTTCGGCGCCGGTAGAGGAGATATCCGCACCGGAATCGAAGACGTCGTCATCATGTTGGCTGGGTGAGCCCCAGAAGGTGGTCGCGTCGGCAGGTGTATAGGTGGCCGCTGACGGCCAGCCCATGTTTGAGCCAGGAGCCTGTTCGCTGTTGTTGTAGTATTTGGCGTCTTTGCAGAAGGGCGTCGCGGACTCAGAGGGCTTTCCGTCATTCCATGTACTTTTCGGCATGGCTGCCGGTGTGTCGCTTATTTCGGTGTGGTAGGTGCCGGCGTTGCGTCCGCTGAAGATGCTCCCGCTGTTCCCTGGGGAACGCTCAGCCAAGTGTCCATGGCTGCGCACTCACTCCAGGAGATTGTCGTACTGCTGTTGGGTACGGGGCATCTGGTGGTTCAGCGGTTGCAACAGCTGTGCTGCTCGAAAGGTACAACTCCCAAGGCGCGAAATACGATCAAAGTAAGGATCTGGAAGTTGGGTACGTTAAAACCTGCCGAATCTGCTTCCAACCTGGCCATACCGAATCGGGCCAAAACTGAATCGATGCGTTCGCCCCTTTCGACCCTGAAGTCGATGAGAGTTGTCCCCGAAGTGAGCTGTCGCTCATCCTCAAGGTTTTCAAATTGGGTTAGGTACGTGATGTATGTGACTCCATCGGTGCCTCCCCCCTGTAAGCTGACACCATAATTGATGATGGTGGATGGCACTCTCATGGCTACTTTTCTAGCTAATCCCCCTCGACCGCGCTGTAACGCAGCGGCCTGTTGGGGTGGAATTATGCTTCCGCTCGTGACGTCAAGCCATGCGTGTACTTCGCGAACAAGGTCGCGGAAGGGTGCGTTGCCTGCGGGATCCCAAAAGGTACCCCGAGTGTGCGTTTCATTCAGTCCCCCTCCTCGCATGTATGCCACGGCGAGACCTAAGCACACCCATCTGGTTCCAAACGTAGCAACCTTAACATAATGCATGGTCATGTTGTAGCTGATGATGTCAGGTGCCGTATCGTTGGAACATGTCGCGTCACTAGGGTTGCGACTGGGTGTCTGGTCTGACGTGGCCGTCAGTTTGCGGATGGGTATCGGTACTTGAGTTGTGCGTGGCGTGTGTGGCCACGCGGTGGGGAGATGGAGGTGTAGGACTGTAAATTACCAATTGAGCGCACACGAGGCCCCTAAGACGGCCCAAGGGGCCTTCGAAAGAGCCTTCGGGAAGGCCCGAAGCAGCCTCAGTCATTGATTCTCAGCTGGTTTCTTCAAGGATGTTGGCACTTTCTTCAAAGGCATCAGACCGCTGCACCTCGGACCCCTTCCACTGGCGCCCAGTACCCAATGCAACAGATTTGCGTGGACCTCTGGAAGCGTATGTTTATGCCGACTTCTCCTCTAACGCCCGCGAAGCACTTTGTGCTCATCCCCCAGGGCCCATGGTTCTTCCTGGGCGGCAAGCTGCCCAGAGGCCCCTGACCCTGGAGGCGCGGGAGGCGCCGTGGCCTCCTTCTCCAGCGGGCGCGAACAAGAGAACGTTACGGGGGCGCCGAGCGTCAGCTCAGGGATAATCCTGGGCCGACCCCTGATTTGAGCAGGGACCGACCATCCTGGCGTTCCTATGGCCTATTGGCCTACCCCGACCTGCACTTAGTTGTTAGACGACAGATACGCGATGTTCAACTAGCCTATTGGCCTACCCGTCTAAATAATGTTCGAACGGCAGCACCAATATTGTTGGACCATGCGCGCAATGCATCAACATAAGACTGCCTCAGCCAGAAATAATCATATTGTATGCTGTGCAAACCGCAAGATGTAAGCTCCACAACTGCTTGACTGCTGCTCTTTCCAGTTCTGCGGCAACTCATGTGAGCCTGCCATCTCATCTTGTCGGCTCTTGCGAATCGACGCTCGTCGACAAGAGCTCCACGCTAATCGACGCTACATCGGCGCTATCGCATCGATTACCAGACGCTAGTGGACGCGAAGGTCCACCAAAAGACAGGGTTACGAAGGTACATATCGGCTACACGCAGGAGTGACCGTGGGAAAGAGTGACCTTTGGTGCGTGGCTTTCGGGCGGCCGCTGGGGAGCCCAAACCGAGCGCACCAGCCGCTGCTATCGCATCGCGGTCAACGAGCGGGGGGAACCCAATGAGCCCGCACCGCAGGTCACTCTGGCGAAAGGCCACTGCTACGTGTAGCCGATACAAGGCTCCTGTGACCTGCTACCGAGCCCCAGGGCCTCGTGCCCGTCCACCGCGAAGGCGTCTCGGTACAGCGCTTCCCACCTGGCCGGCCGGAGCGAGCCCTCGGCGGCCCGCAGCCCGCTCGCGGCCGGCAGCCGCCCTCCCTCCTCGCAGCGCAGGACGCGGCTGCTGCAGCGGCGGGCGTGGCGACCCCGATCCCCAAGACGAAGCCAAGGCGAGGACACATCCGGGTGAGGACAGATAACGCCACGCCACGCCCGCCTGGCCAAGCCAGGAGGGCGTACACACAGCTTCACAGCTCTTGGTTTCAGGATGGGCCTGGCCAGGGAACAGTGGATGTGTGTAGATTGCGTCGCCCGATCGAGAATCTCTGAGATCTGGCTGCTCTGGAAAATGTCTCGGGCGCCGCGGCCTTCTCAGAGCGTTCCGGAACGCCCTGAGGGCGTTCAAAAGCGCTCTGGAACGGATTTCTCCTCGTCCTAGCCCCGTCCGACATATCCCCGACTTTGTGGGACTTGTGACTGAACTTCCCACCAAAATGTCGTGTACGTTGCCCAGTTTGGGCCTGATCTGGGCCGATTTGGAACTCAGTTGGGGCCGGATTTGGACCGAATCTGCCCATCCACAAGAGAGACGAGAAGAATGAGGATCTGGAGGAGGAACATGAAATGCGAGGAGGAGAAGGAGGAAGGGCCAAATGCTGCTCAAATGCAGGAAAACCTGATTTCAATGTCGCCGCCCCGAGGGCCCAAGAATATCCATCGAACCTGGCGCCCCCGATCCCCGACTCTGTGGGGCTTTCCACGGAATCCCCGAAAACAAATACCCTAAGAAAGCACCCTGACAGCAGCAAAGGTGCAGAGGTGGGTCGAGGAGTAGGAGGGCAGCCAATGAAAGCGTGTGTTCAAGGACTCCTAAGACAGATGCAGCCGGGACAGGGGTGAGAGCACGGCCATGCGCACCTTAGTGTATGCTTTCGAAGGGATCATGGCCGTCCAGACTCAACATGTAACCAGCATTGAGGCGAGAGCTCGATTCCTGAATCCCTTGTGAGGAAATTTCTTGCGAAACAACTGCCGCACCAAACGGTCTCAAGCTCCTCGTCCCCACTGTGGCACTCTTCTGTGGGACTCTTGTGAGCTCCTGTAGAATGCACTAGCGAAGCGCCATTAAGGAAATTTGCCCACCTCTGCGACATACGATGGGAGGCGTCCCTCCTCGATAGGCGTGCGTCTGAAAAGCCCTACCGGGGTGACTTCCCGAGCCCCCCAGCTTGTCTCAACGCACTGACCTGGGGGGGGGAACTCGGGGATGGGGGGCGAGAAATCGCCTGCGATGAAAAACCACGACCGCAACAGGACCGACACCCTGGACTAACATTTTCCGAGTCGTCCGTCGAGCCGACCTCTCGTCCCATCTTGGCTGCGCGCGCATGGGCGTGGAGCGCTTAAGAAGCCCCTAAGACGGCCCAGGAGGCCTCCAAGACATCCTCCAGGAAAGCCCAGAAAAACCATACTTATTGATTTTCCGTTCGGTTGATAACGGATTTGGGCATTTGCTTCATCGGCCTTCCAACGGCCCAAGACGGCCCAAGAGGCCCGAAGATTGCTCCAAGATCGCCCAAGAGGCCTCCAAGATGGCCCAAGAGGCCCCCAAGACAGCCCCCACAGGGCCCCAAGACGGCCCGAGAGGTCCCCGAGACGCCCAGGACGGCGTTCGAAACGACCATGAGTGCCCCAAGAGGGCCCCGAGACGGCCCAGAGAGGCTCCCACGACGGCTTCCGACGGGCCAGGAACGCCGCAAGACGGCCTAAGCTGGCCTCAAGGTGGCCCCCAAAGCTCCTAAAACGCCCAAGAGGGGGCGCCAAAGATGACTCGAGAAATTCCCAAGAGGTCTCCTCTCCTTCCCCTCATTCTCCATCTTCCTCGCTCTCCTCTTCCTCCCCTTCCTCCCCCACGTCCTCCCAGAAAAGGCTTCCACAACGGCTGGGGGACCGCATGGTCCAATAGCGTGGCCAAGCTTTCGATGCTCGTTCTGTGGACCTTCCTGCAACCACTCGCTCAACTGTCGAAATTACGTCGAACTCACGTCGACGTGAGTCGAACCGGAATCGAATATGATATTGGAATTGAATCGAACTGGCGTCGAAATGGAACCGAACTAACGCCGGAAAGATCCATTAGGTGGGCCCTAAGAAGGTCCCCCGAACGAGCAAACGCACACTTTGCCCAAACGTTAAGCCACAAGCGCGTATCCCAAAAGTCATTGGGCCGCGGTGATTCGCCGGGGGCGTCTTCGATCTTCCGCCCGCTGCGGCTTGCCACAAGGGTGCACGGCGTGTCAAACTTCAGGTAATTCAGGCCATTAAAAAATACCCGTGGTGTTTTGGCCGATGGCGCCGGCCACCTGGAAGGACCCGCAATTCATATAGAAACAACCAAACTCGCCTCCAAGTCGGCCCAGATTGTTTAGAAATGACCTCCAAGATGCCTCCAAGACGGCTTAGATGGTCCAAGGAGACAGGCTGATAGTCCCGGAGACGCCTCCAAGACGGACAAGCTAGCCCTGAGACGGCCCCAAGATGCCCTCCAGACGGCCCAAAGGGCCCCCGAAACGCTCCTAGAAGGCTCAAAGAGGACATCATCCAGGAGTCCAGAACCCTTGATTCCCAAATGGTTTGAGACCGGTTTGAACGATTTCGCCGTTCTTGGCTTTCGTCGCTCGAAGACGGCCCCATAGGCACCCAAGACCGCGCCAATACGGTCCAAAAGACCCACGCAAGGCCCACAGGAATGCCCAAAACGGCCTCCAGAGGCTGAGAGGTACTGTCATCGAGGCCCCCAGGAGCCCCCAAGAAGCCAAATCAGGCCCCCAAGAGGTTCCAGGAGGCCCCCGAGCAGGCCAATGAGAGGCTCCACAGCGGCTTTTTCTTCTCCCCCAAGCCTCCAGCGGATCCCGCCAAGAGGCCCGTTCGCCGCATGCGGCGGCCGCCGTCAGGCCTTGCAGGCCTCCTCCAGCTCGTGGCCCATCACGCGGTGCATGTGGCCTAGCTGGTACTCGGCGCCGACGACGCCACTGGATGCACCAAGCTTCTTCGCAACGCTCAGGAGGCTGGTCAGAATTCCCTCTGGGCTGCGCGCCTCGTTTATGTCCCGCGCGCATGGTGTGAGATGCCCACTGCAGCTCCAGCGGGCCCAATCCTCCAAGTGGCGACGCAATCCTCCCGATGCTGGAGCTGGGCGGAGGAACCCCCGTTCTGGTGCTTTCCGGACTATCCGCGACGCGTTGGCATCTGCATCGCGGTCGCCAGGAGCTTCCCCGTTTGTGGATGCTTGCCTGCCAATATCCTGTCCCGCTTCCTCTTGGCGTCGTCTTTGCTGCTCGCAGCCCGCTTGGCTAGCGGGCCCGGACAGGCCACTCCTAGTCCCGCTCTCCATCTCGCTGAGCGCGCCCCACGCTCCGCGCGCACCACGTGCGGCGCATGCACTTCCACTCGGTGTTCCCGTTCTCGAGGTACGTCCTCTGCTGCTGGGTCCCGTCAGTACTGGTCATCGGCGGCTGCCGCCGCTGCTGCTGCTGCTGTGGTGGCTGCCACCGCGATGGCAACGTTCGCCTCCAACGAGCTGGCCGTGCCCGTCGCCCTGCTCCCAGTCGATCTCCACAGTGGCACCTGGCATTCTGACTCCCGCAACTTCTTCTTCACCCTCATTGCGGCCGCCCTTCGTCCACGCCTCATGCATGCCATCCAACCGTTCAGCATCTCGACGTGGTGCCTGGTGAGCGCTATCTGCGGCTTGACCACTTTGCGTGCTGGTCGTCCACCTTCCCGCTTCGGTGCGTCTGGCCACTCTCCCGCCATCTGCTGATGCCGCCACCCTATGTTCTGTAGCGCCCATCGCGCTCGGCAGGCTAGGTCCTCCACCACCTGATGCTTCCCGAAGTTGGCGTCCAGTTAAGCCCCCGCTTTGGCTAACAAGTCCATCTCGGCGTTGCCCTTTGCGATCTTGAGCTCGTCTCCCTCCAGCTGCTCGATCCTAGACCTGGATCTGTGCGCTTTGACGTGGCACGCCTCGCCGACATTCAGGTCCATGCCGTTGATCTTGTACCGGATTCACTTCCAGATGTCCGCATGCGGCCTCTTCCAACTTAGGCGCCATTTCTCGCCCTCTCGCAAACCCTTCATGGTCCCCTCGTGATCCGTGTAGATCTTGCCGTCACCCAACTTGTGCTCCAATTCTTCGTAGAAGGACCACATCTGGTATTTCGGCTTGCCCTCCTCGTTCACCGACATTGCTGCCCATCCAGTCTGCGCCCACTCACTGTGGCCCAGCTTGGAGCCATCGCACACGATGTCCCCCGTGAAGTGGTCCTCGCCTTCCTCCACCGCCTGGCACATGTACTGGCCCTCAGCGATCCCTATGAACGTCCAATCCACCTCCGGGTGCCTCACCAGCCCTCTAGTCCAGAGTAAATTGCCCTTCTGCTGCTCTGCCACCGTCTGCCACTCTGGCTGCGCCTTCAATCTCAGCTCCCGCAAGGCTGTGCACTTAGAGCACCTGTGATGTCAAGCACCCTCCGCCAAGCCACACGCCAAGCATATGTCCGTCGGCGCAATGCTGCAATGGCTCAGCTTGCTCATTGTCCAGCTCCCGCTCACGAAAACTTTCCTCGCTGCGTTCTCGGCGTGCTCGGGGGCATCGCGCGCCAACAGCTGTGCCGCCGCAGGCGCCACCATTGGCGCGGGCCGTGAGCCCGCGTACTCCTCCGCCTTGGTCAAGTCCTCCCATAACTGCTGCTGCACGTCCTCTCGTAGCATCGCCGCCACGTCCGTCGGGCAGACCTCCAGCATGTCCAGGGTGTAGCCTGTCTTGGCGATGGCCGTGTGCCAGGCTGGCCATGGCCACTGCGCGCGCCTCAAGGACATGATAACTGCTCCTGCTGGTCCTCGCACCTTCGCCCACATCGGCTTCATCCCGACCTCTTGCTGCTGTCGCCTCCACGCCTTCACCGTCGTGGACTCCGCGCTGTCCCACTGCTGGTTCACCTCCTTGGCCGGCGCCGTTTGCCAGACCTCCCTCGCCCAGCGGATGATGGGCGCCTCCGTGACCTGAAGTGTGGGTTCCTCACCTGCCAGCGCCAACTGCAGCATCGGGCTCTTGGCTCTCCGTCCTCCTGATAGTGCTCGTCCTGCTTCAGGTCGCAGCTGTCGAAGCTGCTGGTCTGGCATCCCATGGCACTGGCACCCGTGCCGCACCGACCTCTTCAAGCCGCACTTGCTGACCAGTGTAGTCCCTGTCGCCATCATACGGCCTCCCCCTTTCAAGTTCGCCAGCCGCCTGCGACTGCTCAGCATGCCCTTGTACCGCTTCCCGCTCTTCGCCTTTGCCGCCGCCCCGTGCGTGATTAGGTCCACGCCGAGGTGCGGGCAGGCTCTCACAACTGGTAGCCCTCTGCGCGCCATGTCCTTCGCCGCCGTCCTGCGCAGCCACTTCGTGCTCGCCAGTGCCGCTCCTTTGCCTTAGCTTCCCACCGAGAGCTTGATGCTCAGCTTGATGAAGCTCGCGAAGCACGCGTCGATGGTGTCGCTGAACTCCTGCGCGAAATACTGCTGCTTCTGTCGAAGACGCACACGTATGTCATCGACGTGCATGCGCCACTTTGCGCGCGGCCCCTCCACCACTAAGCCATCAACGGTCGACTGGATGACCATCTTCAGGAACCGCACCGAACACTTGCTTCCAGCTATGATCGTGGCCACCGTGCTGGTCTCGCTCAACGCTGGGCCCCCCGCTATGAGCCTCGTCGCCGTCGTGACGTGCAAACGCACAACCGCTATCACTCCCGTGTTGAAATCCAACTGCTTGCCCGCCTACCACAGCACATGCAGGCTCACCTTTTCGAAGGCCTTGACCAAGTCGAGCACCGCGGTGATCGTGGCTTCCAGCTCCTCACTCTCGTCGTCGGGATCGTCCATCTCGTGGCTGAGTAGTGCATCGCACGCCGCGTCCTCTGCTGCCGCCCCGTGGTTCGTGCAGTCCCAGCTCCTCTGGTTCTCCATTGCCCCCTTGATCATGTGCGGCCCTTTCATGATCTCACGCGCGCGGATGGTGGCCGGCAGCAACCCAATCGCCCTGTCGGTGGTGAGGGTCTTCGGGATAATGAAGAAGAGGACCGTGGCCATGTGAATCGGCCAAGCCAGGGTGCAGTCCACCACCCTGAGGATGTCCAGCAGTCTGCTGCAAGCCTCGTCGCACGCGCCCTGCAGCGTGGAAGGGTGCTATCGATCCACTCCGATCCCCGTGCGTCTCCTGATGGTGCGAGCCACCTCCTTCAGCCTGTCGACATCCTCCTCCTTGAGGTCTGCGAGCTCCTGCCTGGGCTCCTGCCCCCATGGCCTCGGCTCCTCCTGCAACTTCTCACCGACCCTCCGGACGACCTTCCACTCCTCGAAGGCGTACTCTGCCGCCTCCAGGGGGTCTGCTGCCTTCCCCGTGGTGTCCGCGCGCCTGGGCCTCCACGCGGTTGCCGCCTTACTGAGCTTGTCTAGTCCTCCTGCCGCTCCTGCCGCCGCTATCGCCAGCTCATCAGCCCACCTCGCCTGCCTCTCTCGCAGCAGCCTCTGGTCTACCGCCTTCATCTTGCCCCCGGCCTCCTGCATCCAGCTCTGGGAGTTCGGCTCCTTCCTCCCTCCTCGCAGCTGCCCAGCTGCTATCGTGTCGCACCGCGCCTGCCAGATGCCCTGCCCCTTTGCGCTGATGTACTTCACGCGCCTGGGCCTGGCCTGGAACAACTTCTCCTGGCATCTCATCTGGTGGCACCTCTTCTGCACCATGTCCGGCTCCTTGGCCCCCCTCCACCCTGGGTGCGCGCCTTGCAGTCCATGCAGGGGCCGTGTTAGCCACCGCCACCACGTTGCCTCCCTCGCGGCCGTGTGAACGTTCTCGCCACCGAATTTGAGCGGCTTGATCCTCCACTTCGGCTCCTCTGCTCGCCCCGCATGCGGGTCGTCCTCCGCCCGCTGCATACCTCTGACCTGGGCGGCCTCCTGCTCCAGCGCCCGCATGTACTTGGTCCACGCCTTATTAGCCTACTCCTGCGTCTTGAACTCCTGCACATGCTCGTAGCTCGGGGGTGCGGGCGCGCGCCCTATCTGCGCCTCTGGTAACGCCCTGGGCTTTTCCAGCACTCTGACCTTGCGCTCCACGACCTTGAGCTTGATCGTGGGCCCGACTGGCTTGTGCGGCGCCGCTGGCCACGATTCCTGTATTTCTATGTGCTGCACCTGCCCCCGCGCTGAGTCCGCCACCAGGGATTAGGCGATCTCGCAATTCCCATAAGCATGCCTGCAAGTGCCGCAGGCCGTGTTGGGCGCTACCACCGTTCCCCTGGCTACCTTCACACTCTCGACCTCCGCCATCACCCTGGGTACCACCTGGAAGTCACCCCCAATGACCCACGGCCCCCCCAGGCTCTGCAGCTTCCCAATCACGTACGCGATGAGCTGCGTGTTCCTGTGCGTCATGCCCTCCGCCGTCCATAAGACCACGGTGGCGAGCACCGCGCCCTTCCCGATCGACGGCCACGCTGCCGCAGCCGTTCCTGGGCTGGCCTTCGGCGAGATGTCCCGGTCGTCCTTGCCGTACAAGTAAGCCATGCCCACTCTCTTCGGCACCGCAAGCGCCACCCCCGCCGATGTGCCTGCCTCTCCGTTGGGTCCCGTGGTGGCCACCGCCGCGGCGCCACCCATGTGGTACCCCTGCATCTTCATGCTCTGTGTGACCACTGCCAGCTTGTCCGTGGCCGGGTGGTGCTCCTGCACTGCGTAGCACTGCGGCTCCAGCATCTCCTCCATGATCTTGTCCTTGATCGTGCCACAGCCCGAGCCATTATACGTCATCGGCGTGACCGTGTCATGCTTGAGCGTCCTCACGCGCTTGTCAGGAACGCTTCTGCTTCTTGGCTGCGTGCTCGGCCAGGCTGGCGCACACCCTCTAACCATCGTTTCCGCTTTTCTGGTGTAGCTTCATCTGGTACTCCTCCTGCTTTGAGCCAGTCCTGTTCTTCTGCAATAAGCTTTGGCCCATCATCTTGTGTTGCTGCTGCTGGTGGTGCTGCTGCGCCTCGCCCTGAACCACGAGCATGAGTTGGATCACCAGGACTCTCAACATCCATGACCATGTCCTCCTGCTTTGCATTGGCCAGGACCTTACCCAGCACCGTGACGACCTGCTCGTACTCCTGCTTACTGATGCCACTGCAGTCGACCGCGCCCTCGAACTGCTTCTGCATGGCCGGGAGTAAGGCTGGTGACTCCCCGATCCCGTTGGCCCTGGCGATCTGCAGCTGCTCCTGCTTCTTCTCGAGTCTGGCTTTGGCCTCCTCCAGCCTCTTCTCGAAACCAGCTGACGTCGTTGGCCAAGGACTCGGTCTCCTTCTCGAGCTTCTCCCTGGCGTACCGCGCTTGCGTGAGCTGCGCCGCAGGCGGCTTCGTGGTGTCCTTCTTCGTCCGCGCGGCCTGGTACTTTTCGAGGGCAACCTGGTACCCTTCCGAGTCTTCGCCCCGCTCCTGCTTGCACGACTGTGCCCACTTGAAGAGTCGCGCCAAGTCGACCTGCGGCTCCTCGTTCGCGGGCTTCTCCTGGTTGCCATCCTTGAAGGCCCAGAGCTCTTCTCGCATGGCGTCCAGCTTCTTCTGCATGGCTGCCTCTCGCTTGGTCGGGCCCAGCAGCGCCTGCTTGTAGGTGACCTGCTGCCGCGGCGCCTCAGCCCCACAGCCACGGCAGTGCCTTCACGTCGCAAAATTGTCCTCCGTCCCGCATCTGCAAGACCAGTTGCCGTTGCCACTGCTCCCAACCCGCCAAGGCCAGCCCTTGCCGGCATGGCGCGCCCGACCCGAACGGTAAACCGCCCTGGCCGCCGCGGACAAGCGGTGTCCCTTTGTCCACAAGGGCGATGCCCCAACGTGTTGGGCATCTTGAGCCAAAACGGCTACGGGAGGCCCCACAGCGGTTCCCAAGAGGCCCCCACAAGGCCTCAGGAAACTCCCAGTAGGCCTCCTCATTGTCCTCCTCCTCCTCCTCCTCCTAGTCGGCGTTTCGGAGCGAACGATTTAGGAAACGACTCGCCCGAAGTGCGCAAGAGCGCACCATGCCGCAGCCCAGGCGTGGGTACTCCCCCGAGGACAGGGAGGGGGAGAGGGGATGGTTTCCTGTTGCTCATGAGAACCCTCTTCTGCAGCCCGTATGCGACCAACACTATTGAGAGACCGGAGGACATCAGCAGCGAACTGGGCCACTGGGACATAGTACTACTAAGTGGAACACACACGTGGGCAGGGGGACCTGAACACAATCGGACAGTTAACGCGAGCTTCAATGGGGAATACAACATGGAGGAACACACAAGCAAATAGATTTCGAAAGTATGCGGTGCTTCAATATTGATCAACAACAGAATTCCTAAAACGGCGCTCAGGAGGATCTACTCGCCTCCGAGCAATATACGAGGGATGGTGTCAGGAGCCAGACTGTGTTGGGCGGGAGGGGATTTGGCCCTCTTCGTATTAAACCTGGCGCCCACCTACTACACGAGGTACGAAGACAGAGCGAACAGAGTAGTGGGAGTGGTAGAAGAGCAATGCGACAAACTGGGAGTGAGGACCACACCGATCGTAGGAGGAGGTCTCAATACGCAATCTGAACATCGCAGAAACCCTGAAGGCACCCTCGTGACAAGTATGAACGACAAAGCTACTGTGGGCCCGTTTGGGGGCAAAGTTGAAAATCACAACAGCAGAGCATTTAGGAATTTCTACGCTCAGAGCGGACTCCCCGTTGCAAAGACACTCTGGGACCGCGGACCGACCTACCACAGCCCATCTGGATATCCCAGCAAGATAGACCACATTGCCATCCCAATTTCGGCCCTGGGCATAGTAGAACGATGTACGACGCTGAGGAGCCAGGGGGAAAGACTGCAGCTAATAAAAAGCAGAGGGTTGAAAGACCACCTTTCTGTAGGTATTGTCCTCCCAACAGTGACCTCCACCAAGTTCCGACCCCCCACCCGACTCGCCCCGAAGGTCCCGACGGTGAGGCACTCATGAGGTGCCTCAGGGAGGGAGGCAGGAGAGGCGAGCTGCTCCACCACTTCTCCATGGAGCTGCATGACCAGGGGAAGTGGGACGAGGCGTTGCTCGAATCTACACCCGACGCCGCCTGGGAATTGTGGGGAGAAGCGGGCAGGGAGGCCATGAGGAAGACGCTCCCAAAGAGAAAGCAGGACGACCCAACGGTGGAGGAGTTCAAGAGGAGGATGAGAGAGCTGCTTAAACAAATAATGGGGGATCAGAGAGAGGCTGGAGGAAGGAACGGAGGATGAGGTTTCTAAGGAGGTACAAGAGGACTTGGCAACGGTGTCAGCGGTACTGAAAGCGGTGAGGGATGCAACGGAGAAGGAGAGGAAGGCGAAGATAGCAGAAGAAACTTGGCGGGCCTACGATCAGAATAACCACAACGAGATGCATAGGCTTAGGATCCAGTGCCTCAACAACGGGACGGGAGGGGGCCACAAAAGCGTTACTACTTTCCCCGCGGACTTACTGGGACAGTGAGCATTGGTCTTACGAGCTCGGTAGGCACCCACACCATGGAGGACGGGCGGCAAATATACTCATCCTTGGGACTCTGCGAGAAGACCACAGGAGAAATATACGGGTCCAGGTTACCGTTGGCAGAATGCGCAAAGGCGAAGGCTCAGGCGGCCCCGGACGAGAGGAGCATGCTGCAGTCTGACAGGAACGCGAAGAATATGGTAGCTTTTCCCGACTGGGGGTGCCAATAGAATTGGCTTGGATGGCTCTTGACCCGACTGTCCATCCCGGAGCAGCAACCAGATAGAAGCAGCACGCATCAGGGCAGTTGAAGCAAGGGGAGATGAGTAGGAGCCAGAGAAGTACACGGCCCTCTTCAAGTATAAGAAAGGGAGGAGGCAGATGTTGGACGATATGGGATGTACGACGGGCCAGCGTCTTGGTGTTGCTGGGGGTGAGGGGGGGGGGGATGGCGACGGAATCGGCAGAGATGCATGCGAAAGTAGACCGTACCGCGCCCACAGAGCAACTGCAACAAAACTTGACACACTACCGGTTCCGACTACAAACAACTCGCCCTCTCATTCGTTGTCTCGCTTGAGATATGTTTTGTTGATGTGTCGCACGTCGCAGGCTACCCCTCTGGATTGGCACCGCTCGCTTGCGTTCGACGCTGGCCAGCACAACAACGAAGAAGGCATAGCAAGCAAACGCATCATGCACGCATACTGCAGCATGGGAATGTGATGGTTCAACGGGGTACGCACACGAAGCCCCCAACCCGAGCACCCGTCCAAGGCTCAGGGCGGACTGGCGCATATATGTAGAGAGAACGCTATTTTATGCATAGTCAGCACGCAGTGGAGGGCACAACAGGGGGGGGGGGAAGTGTAGCACACAGCAACTACGACTGCACGAATGCACTTGACAATGCAACGCGCCCCCTACTTGCTGCGTCTGCGTGGCGGTATGCGTGTGCAGCGGGCAGGGTGCATGCAATGGAGACCATCCGCCTACCTACCTTCAATATGCAATGCGCGGACGGATGTATACACTGAATGGCTACACAACATGCACAGATGGGGCTTACGCTTTTCCCGAGGCAGTCCAACGACACATACGCTATTCATGTGAGCAAATGAGAGGTGGAGGTACGAGCATCGGACAAGGCACAGACACTGGACGACACTATACATCCAATCAGAGGAGAGTCCCATGATCTCGCAATCAACACGTTCATGGACCATGTGACGAAAACGACGGCGATCCCCCAGGAGATTAAAACAGGCCAGGTAGTGGACATACTCAACAAGAGCTCGGAGCTACTCGCCAAACCTATCGAGAAGAGAGGATGGGCGCTGAATCCTGGAACGACCAACCACCTACTCTGCCTGGTGGGACAATGAAGCTTTGTCACGACCAGGGGACTGCGCACAACTAAAGGGTTACTGGGCACGGCTTGGAGGGAGATGCGCATACCAGGACCCGAACTACCTTCTGACCAGGGTCTGGCTGGCGGGCGAAATAGGCAGGAAGGGGGACGCTATGACGGTTGCGTTCAGACAATGTGGCTATGTTTGGGACTGTGGCACATCGGACACCATAAGACTACGCGTCTTCACCGCTTTTGTGGTCGGAGCGGCTCTCAGCGGCCTCACAGCTTTCGTCATCCCTACCCATCCGATGATAGCCCTGGGCGTTACGATGGGGAAATTGCTCAAGAAGGCGAGCCAGGGAGACATGAATTGGACAAGAGAGAACGGCAATGTCAGATGCAACACCACGGGGCAAGTCTTCTTGCACGGGAGAATCGGCAGAAGTGCTCTCGCACTCAGAGTCCGCCGCCTGAAACGGTACCAACAATGGGCGCGCTTCCCTGTCGACCACGGGGGTGTTTTGGCGCGGTTCTAGGGACCTCGAGACTGGACAGGGAAAGAGGTACGGAACGACTCTGGGAGGGGAGGTGGATTTACGACGGATCCCCCCCTGGGCCGTACAGATGGTGGAGGACATTGATGCTCTGCCGAGGGCATGCCCAGAAAGGGGAATCTTGTCTTTACAAAGAAGATCCGACCTGGACATGTTTACCTCATGTACCGGCGACTGGAAACAAGGGTGCAGACGAACACAAACATCTTGGGGAGCTGGGCAACACACAACAAGAAATATTACCCACACTCGCTGGAGGAAGCCGAGGAAGCAGAAGAAGAAACGTAAATAATCGACCAACCATTATGGTGCGACTGGGCGTGTGTAGACATAGAGGGAACAGAGACTGTATGTGGACAACTATTTTCGACTGCTGCTGATTTACGGGAGAAACACAAAGTCAGCCCCCTTCTCGCGTCCCTGGCTATTGCAAACCAATGCCCCTGGTGTCTGAGCATTTTCGCTACGAGAAGAACAGCAATGGACCACGCTACTAGAGCAGCAGATGGGCACGGGATATGCTAAAGGGGTTCAGTTGCTGAGTATATGAAGCACGTACACCTACGACAGAGGAATTACAATGCAACATCTGTGACCATTAGGCTCAAACCCTGCTAGGATTCCAGCTTCACGCGCGCTCGCACCATCTAGGCCCAGAACACTTCAGAGCACCACGAGCTGAAGCAGAGGATGGCGCAAGAACTTCCCTCCCCAAGGTGGCTGGTTGCAAAAAGAAACGCCGACGTGCAAGACATGGGCCTCCAGAAGATCCACGAGGGAAACGGAAAAGAGGGCCCCAACGGACGGGGAGGAGGAGGAGGAGGAGGAGGAGGAGGAGGAGGAGGAGGAGGAGGAGGAGGAGGAGGAGGAATAGGAGAAGGAGGAGGAGGAGGAGGGAAGGAGGAGGAGAGGGAGGAGGAGGAGGAGGAGGAGTGGACGTGACGATGCAGGAGGGTGTGCGGGGGCAAGCGGATCGCCGGCGGCGGCATCGGCACCAAGAGAGCTCCGGGAGAGGAGGACCACCGCACCGCGGGAGAGGAGCTCAGGGACCGCAGCAGCCACCAGACCCTGCCGCGGCCGTCAGCAGCCTGCAGAGGCTGGCGCTGCGGGCGGCGCAGGACATGAGAGAGGTGACGCAGATAGACCACGCGAAACGGTCAAGAAATCATGGGTTAAGAAATTCATGGTCTCAGAACTCGAATAAAAACCCCAAATTTCTATCAAAATCTTAGGATTTACATTGAAATATTAAGAATAATCGAGACTCTGGCCGAAAACTCAAGTTTTCTTAAGCATCGC